TGGCTGCCCCATCCCTGGCAGTGTTGAAGGGCAGGTTGGATGGGGCTTGGAGCAACCTGGGCTGGTAGGAGGTGTCCCTGCCCGTGAAGGGGGTTGGGACTGGATGGTCTTTAAGGTCTCTTCTGACCCGAACCTGTCTGGGATTCTATGATTGGGGAAAAAAATCTGCATCTTGTAAGATGCTGGGATGCCTTTTCTGTTAAGGACAGGGGCATTTCCTGCAAAGTGTACGTTCAGAAAAGAGAAGCAGAGGTTCTATTTTCAGGTTTACAGCTGCCTGGACTTTTCCTTTAGAGGCAGGGTGAGTTTCAGGTACCTCTGGTGTCTCCATGGACACTTGGAGCTCCTTGAATAGTGGGCAGAATGCAGGCAAGGGCAGCCCGGGGGCTTGGGTGCAGTGCAGGACAGTGGAGTTGACTTAACATTGTCTTTTTTTCTCCTTCCCTAGAAGAGAAGCCAAAACCAGATCCAGTATTAAAACCTTCTTCTCCAGTCCTCAGACCAGAACCTAGTGGGGAGAAAAAAGATCAAGCCGGCCAGACGACCGAGGCAGCCCCAGTGGAAACCCCACCAGAACTTCCTCTTGCTCCATCACCAACCCCAGCTGCTTCCACTGCAGTTGTTCCTCCTGCTGCTGTTGTCACTGTTTCTAGTAAACCCACGTTCACACCTGACTCAGAGGAGAAATGTGACCTCCCTTCCCCAGAAGAGGAGGCCATGCCTGGATCTGACGCCGCGCCCTGCACGGACACATCGGACCCTCCTCCAGCAGAAGAGGCTGATGCTGAGGTGTGCAAGGAGCCTGGCAGTGTAGCACCCAGTGACAGCCCAGGGCCTGGTAGCACTCATCTAATTAGTGAAATGAATGGAGTTAGTGACAAAGTAACTGCTGCAGAGACCATATCAGATGTAGCCCCGGCAGAAGCTGCGCCATTGACTGTTGAGTTGGAGACACCAGAAGCTCCTCCAGCAGAAGTGGAGAGCTTGCCACCTTCCAGTGCTCTTCCCACTGCTCCCTCTCCTCCGCCTACCCCACCTCCCACCCCTCCGCCTCCTTCTCCTCCAATTTCTGTTGCTGCTGCTACTGTTACCACTACAACTCCTTCTCCACCTCCTCTTCCATCTCCTAGTGCCCTCCCTGTTGTCCAGGGAGATTTAGAAGGAGAGGAGAGCACAAGAACTACTGTTAATGAAGAGGTAAAAGATGCTGAAAAGAAGGAAGAGACAGAAGCAGATGGAGCACTGGAGGAGAGCACAGAGGCTCAGAGCTTAAACTTGAGCAAGAATCCTGTCCCAGGTCAGTGTTTGGCACCATGGGGAGGCTAAAGGAAAAGGAGTTATTTTTGGGGCTGAGATCCCATCTCTGGCAGAGCTAAGTCTCCACCACTTGGTTAATTTTAGCTGTGATGATGCCAGTATGAAACAGCTTCATTTTCTTTTGCAAGGGTGTTCTTAGCAGAGGGGAACATTATCTTGGAAGTCCAGACTGGAAGGGATTAAGGACACTGGGGCAGAACTATTTACTACTAATGAAACTAGTCCAGAGGAGGACTTGAGGATGATCTGAGGGCTGGAGCAGCTCTGCTCTGGGGACAGGCTGGGAGAGGTGGGGTGTTCAGCCTGGAGAAGAGAAGGCTCCAGGGAGACCTGAGAGCAGCTTCCAGTGCCTGAAGGGGCTCCAGGAAAGCTGGGGAGGGACTTGGGACAAGGGCAGGGAGGGATGGGATGAGGGGGAATGGATTAAAACTGGAATTTGGGAGATTTAGGTTAGTCATGAGGAGGAAATTCTTTGCTATGAGGGTGGTGAGAGCCTGGCCCAGGTTGCCCAGGGAAGCTGTGGCTGCCCCATCCCTGGGGGTGTTGAAGGGCAGGTTGGATGGGGCTTGGAGCAGCCTGGGCTGGTGGGAGGTGTCCCTGCCCATGCAGGGGTCTGGATCTAGATGTTCTTTAAGGTCCCTCTCAACCCAAACCATTCCATGATTCTATGATGGATCAGGAGCTGCAAGGACCTGTTCCAAGTTACCAGAAATGGACATTTCTGTAGCTGCCTTTTAAAATCCAGGTTGTTTCTCTGAGTTTTGGTACCTGCCTCTGGTTTCAGTGTCCTCTCCCATCACTGCCTTAGCTTTTCATGGCTTCATCCAGGCTGTTGCCTTTTGGTTTTGCTGTGTGTTCTCTAGAAAACTGCTTTCTTTTCAGGACTTCCTGTAAATGAAACTGTGGAAAAGAAGTTCAATCAATCAATTACTTGTATTTATCTGCAGGAGGGAGCATAATGGTGGCTATTATGCACCCCTGGCAGTGCGAAAGCTGCCTCTTTTACACCCTGTTTTGTAGTCCTTTCAGAGCTACAAAGCTGAGGTGGTTTATTTAAATATATCCTTGGAACTGGGTGGAGTTTGGACAAGAAACAGAGGAGAGAACAGTAGGTTGTGATTTGTGGTTTGTTTCCTGTTAAAGTAACATTTAGAATGGAGGATTTTTGTAGTTTATAAGCAAGTCAGAGGTGTGTGATGGCATCAGTAGCATCCAGGGCTTCACTCTGCTAAGGATTAAATGATAATGAAAAGCTGAGGTTGGCCTTGGGCTCCTCACTTTAAGGAAGATCTTGAGGTGTTGGGTAGGTCCAGAGGGGACAATGAAGCTGGTGAAGGGACTGGAGGGAAAATCTTATGAGGAGAGGCTGAGGGAGCTGGGGTTGTTCAGCCTGGAAGAGAGGAGACTCAGGGGGGACCTTCTCACTCTCTAAAACTACCTGAAGGGAGGTTGTTGGTCAGGTGGGGTCTGGGTTCTTACCCAGGCAACCAGTGGCAGGACCAGAGGGCCTGGCCTGAAGCTGCTCCCGGAGGTTTAGGTTGGATATCAGGAAGCACTTCCTCATGGAAAGGGTGATCAGACATTGGGATGGGCTGCCCAGGGAAGGGGTGGAGGCACCAGCCCTGGAGGTCCTGAAGGAGAGGCTGGGGGTGGGACTTAGTGCCATGGTCTGGAGATGTGGTGGTGTTGGTCATAGGTTGGACTTGATGATCTCAGAGGTCTTTTCCAGCCTTAATAATTCTGGGATTCTGTTCCATGTTTGTGTAACACCACACTAGGTCAATGTGCTTTCAATAAAACACAGTATCTAGAGAAGATCAGAGCAATCCCTTCACTCTACCAACCACAGGGTTTGTGGGTTTTTTATTCACTTAATTTTTCCATTTTTCATTTACTCAGTCACTTCACTGCTCTGGCACTTGTTGTTCCTTCAGCCTGAGCTACTTCATAACACAAATTAATTTCCTTACAAAGGAGAGAAATGGGACTCTTGCAGTAAATAAGGTTTTCCACAGCCAGGTTCCAGCTTGCACCATGATTTCTTGCTTTGTAATGTCCTGTAGGTTAAATGAAGAAAAAAAAAAAAGAACTTACAACTTTTGGGGCTTTTAATTATATGGATGATTAATTAGAATGCTTTCATGTCATGAGGCCAAACAGCACAGATGAGCCAACCCATTGGCTTTGGCAACTGAGAAGCATTTCTCAGGTCATGTAAAAGATCTCCTGAAACTCTGATTGCTGTGAAAAAGCTCAGTGCTTCAAGGGAAGCAAAGTACTGAGTCAGTTTTTTGGGCTTTCCTCCTGCTTTCCTGATGTTTAACTGGGTTGAGTTTCTCTGCCAACGTTTGGTGTTGGTTTGGTGTTTTGTTTTTTTTTAGAACAGTAATTTTCCAAGTCTTCCTTGGAAAGAGGAAGGGGGATTTAAAAGCCATGGTCTGAAGGAGGCTGCCAGTGCAGGCTGGACCAGGAGTTGCATGTCTCTGCCATGGGCTGGAAAATACAGATGCTGAACATCAGGAGGAAGAGCTGTAATTTTTTTTCTTGGACTAAAGGCCAAGAGGCTTTTTTTATGGTCTCTGGAGACAGGCTAGAAATTGGGAGAAGGGAAACTTGTCAGACTGGTAAGCTGAGCTCTGTGACTTCTAACAATGTTTCCTTGGGGTTTCAGAAGAAGTGTCCATTCATTACAGAGCAGTTTGGCCACAGATCACACCCTTTTGCTGCCTTTAATGGTAGCTCTTGTGGTTTGACTCGGGCCCAAGACCTGTAAGAACCATCTGATTGCTGCAGCACTTACTCTTCAGTGTCCTTTTCAGAGTTGCAACCTGCCTAAAACTGGGGGGTTTCTGAAGGAGACCTTCATCTACCTCCTCTCTGGCCTGGTGGGGCAGCACTGCTGGGATTCTGAGGCCACAGCTTTTCTGGGAGGAATGAAATTATTTGCCTGTTCCTCAGGTGCTTTACAGGATGCATCTCATGCCTTACAGGCAGAGAAACTATACTTTTATTTTTTGCCCCATCAAGCTCTGTGTACAGAGAGAAACAGAATCCCAGAATTATTGAGGCTGGAAAGACCTCTGAGATCATCAAGTCCAGCTTATGACCTGACACCACCACATCAGCCAGACCATGGCACTAAGTGCCACCTTCAGCCTCTCCTTCAACACCTCCAGGGCTGGTGCCTCCACCCCTTCCCTGGGCAACCCATTCCAATGTCTGATCACCCTTTCCATAAGGAAGTACTGAACAACCATGTTCAGACCACAGAGGCCCATCCTTATTCTCCAGCAGTTCTTTTTTACAGCTTCAGAGAATGAATTTTTCAGTGTTTGCAGGGAGAGACCAGAGCTGAGCAGAGCTTGAACCCTTTTGGTGTCCAGAGGAACCTCTGCTCTTTCTTTTCCACTAGAATTAGATCTCCACCAGATTACCAAGGTCAGACAATGCAGGCACCTCTGTTGTTTTCTTCTCATTTTGCAGAAATTGGAGCATGTTTGGTTTCCCTTTTAATTTTACACTATATTTCAACTACACTGAATGTCTCAAGTAGGAGCCTGCATAAAGAGAACCACTGCAGTGGCTCAATCTCAGTATCTGGCAGGAGCAGGTTCCTCCATAGCCTGCTCATCAGCATCTTTGTCTTTCTTATAACCCCTTAGGAAATGGGGAAGATTTGTTGGGTTTCAGAGCATTTAACCACTGACAAGTGCAGGTTTTTACCCAGCAGGCAGGAGGTTGTACCTAGGTGGGTGGTTTCTCACTGCTGGTTTCAGTTGTGAGCTTGGAGCCAAAATGTGGGGGTAGAGGAGACGCGTTCACCCTGGTGGGATCATGGGGCAGCAGATCTCCTGCCTGCTCAGGAAGGATTGTCCTGAGGTTTTTCAGGATGGGCAGAGCTGTTATCTGCAGAGAGCAAGAGCACACAGCTTTGAAAAGAATTAATTCCTACTCATCTTCATTACAAGAAAGAAAATGCAGAAACTATCAAGAAACTCAGCTCAGCCTGTAAACCAGACTGGGGCAGGGAGGGATGGGACAAGGGGAATGGATTTAAACTGGAATTTGGGAGATTGAGGTTGGACATGAGGAGGAAATTCTTGAGTGTGAGGGTGGTGAGAGCCTGGCCCAGGTTGCCCAGGGAAGCTGTGGCTGCCCCATCCCTGGGGGTGTTGAAGGGCAGGTTGGATGGGGCTTGGAGCAGCCTGGGCTGGTGGGAAGTGTCCCTGCCCATGCAGGGGAGTTGGAACTGGATGATCTTTAAGGTCCCTTCTAACCCAAACCTGTCTGTGATTCTGTGAAAAACATTGCTAAAAGTCACCACCAACACCCAGTTGCTGTCATTAAGTTGTAGTTTTTCTCTAGTAGCTTTGCTGGCTGTGGTGAGGGACCAGCCCTGCTCGGGGAACAAAAGAGGACAAATGTTGGTGGTGGAGTAGAATTTCTAAAGAGAAAGCTGCTACCAGAGACTTGTAGCCTTTAGGACATGCTCTGAATGCAGGGCTTTGATGTCATCTGTCTGTCATGGCTCTTCCAAGGAGCAAAGAGGAAAATAAGAGATTGATGTGTGTCCCAGGCAGGACTCCTAGGAACACAGGGAGCCAAAAGAACTTAATGCACATAGAATTCAAAGGGCTGTTTCTTGCAGAACTAATTTATGAGACCTATTTCAATATAAAGTAGCCCAAGTGGCTGTGAGGCCCTGGGTTTCATAGCTGTGGAGTCTGTAACAAGCAACTTGGGGCCCTAATTGGAAATATCTTGGAGAAATATCTCCAGCACCCAAAGCTGGAGAGCAGGAGCCATAAATCAGGTATCGCCTCATTCTTGGTTTGCTGCCATAGCCAACTGGAATAGATTTTCTCTCCCCTGAGCTGTAAGGCAGTGGTGAGACTGTGCTTTGGTTTTTAATGGTACTTTGGCTAAAAAAAACACTAAAAGTATAAGAGCTGGTATTAATTTATGCTTAGCAGTTGGGCC